AGTGTGGCTGAAGTGCGGGTGGGGGGGGGAAAACCAAAAAAAAGCCATAAAGATGTTTATGTTGGCTGGATGTTATAGCCAGCTGGGTCTGAGAAGGACAACAAGGCCAAGCAAGATGGGTGGGAAACCAGACCAGAACTGCCTGCTCTGTGCCTGGAGCCTCCAAGCTCACCTCAAGTGCCTGAAGCCAGAGAGCTGCTGCTCTTCATCCCGACCCAAAACCTCTCCAGCAGCCCTGCCTGCTGCAGTACCCTCTGCCTGAGCACCATGGCCCTTCATTGCTCAGTGGTGGTTGCCATAAACACAAAGAACATCTTATTGAGGGTGGGTTGTTCTGGATAGAAATGGCCAAAGCCCAGTATTGAAGTGCACCCCTGAGATGGCAGCATGGGTGGCTGTTCTGAATAGCACACCCAAAGCATCAGCTGCCATGGAGCCATCAAGACAGATTTTCTTGGCCTGCTACTACCAGAGGAAACTTCTGAGATACCAGAAGCACCAAATAACAATACTGTGAGAAGACCTAGACCTAGCTTTAGAGGATGCAGAAGGAGATGACGTGATATGGTGGCATTTTCCTACCGTGAGGCCTGTGAGTTTAATGTCATGTTTTTGGGAATCTTGCACTGTGTCTGTAAGTAAGTGGACAATATGCTGTCAAATTGAAATGGTGTTTCCTGCGTTATATTTCTTGGTATGCTAACTTTTCAGGAGGTTGTTGAAGAAGTTGTGACATGCTCTGAACTTGGCTGGTCTTTTTGCTGGTGCTCTGACTGATGGCTCTTCTACTGGTTTGAAAGCAGGACAGTGGCCAACGTCTTTGAATCTTCAACCCAGATTAAAGCCCAGCCCATTTATATCCTTTGTTGCTCTGCTCACATTGACTTTCATCTTCAAGTAGCTTGTAATGGCCCCTCTATCTACTGCATTAGGACACAGACTGGCAAGTCCCCAGCGTGTTTCCCTGCTCAGCATGGTGACAGAAACTTTGGTTCCTGGACTTGGAGTCTGGATTCTTGCAGCAATGACCTGGCTGTTCATGTTTAGAAACATGCTGCAGAGGTCTGCTCAGCATGTTTCTAAAGCTTTCTTTTTTTAAAAAATTTTTTATGTTGTACAATTTCTACTCATTTTGAATTCAACAGGAGTCTGGGCATTGACTTCAGTAAGGCAGGTGGTCAGGGGCCATGGTGCCTGGGCTACCACTGCTGCTGGACGGGGTGCAATACCAGAGGTGTTTCCAGCTGCCTTGTGGGTCTAGCTTGACCGAATGATTAGGACGGTCATCAGTGGATGTGGGACAAAGCCAGAATTTTCTCCTGGCTCAGACTACCTTGGAGACCATCCTCTCCTCCCAGGGCAGGAGCCATGAGCTGTTTTCACAGGTCCCCATGCAACCCTCACCTGCTCTTGCCTCATGCCCTGGGGAGGTCTTTGTCGCACCAGGTCTTGCTCCTTGGCCTCCAGTCTTCTCTGCGGAGATGGGGTATAGTGTCCAAAAACCAGGCATCTCAAACTGAGCTAATTTCACCCCATGCAGGCAATTGGAAGAGGCAGCTCGTGAGTATGTGCCAGCTGTGGAAACATGCATCCCTCCTCTGCTGCAGCGTGGGGAACTTGGATCTAGATGCCAAACATGATCCTAAACCAGGGCTGCTCCATCCTGTCATTGCTGGTGGGACCATGCTGTGACTTTCCCTTTGTTTTATTTCAAAGTCTTCCCTCCTTGCCCTCCCCACATCTGGTACGTCAGCAGAGATCCAGCCTCTACCTACCAAGGTTTTCCTTAGATATCTTTCACCAGCTGCTTATACGGGGACCAGTGGGGGCTACGGGCCACCGGTTGAAGATCACTGCTCCAACTGGAGTGTTTCAGCCTGACAAAGGCTATTTGGGTGGCCTCTGATCTAAAGCAGATCAGATTAGAGGAGCTAGTGAGCCCTTCTGGCCTCAGACCAGGACAGCTCGGGTGGCAGAGGGGGGCGGGGAGCCGCTCTCCTTGCTGACGTGCCTTCGCTCTCCATCCTGGGGGTGTGTGTGAGAAAGCGATGGGCACGGGATGGGGAGTCGCTGCACGTTTTGTGATTCTCCCTGTACAGAGCATGGATGCTGGGATGGGAGCCGAGCTGGGGCTGGTGCTGCTGCGGCTGGGCAGAGGCGC